AATTCTAGTTAATACATAAATCTATTAATGATTTTTGGCAGTAAAATTGTAAAAAGTAATTTTGCCGGCCCTTAGAGATGTCGTCCGTCAGGTTCGTAGCCCGGGGTTGGCCATGCGGGGTTTAGCCCCACATAGAAAGTGGTCTTGACTCCTCTGGAAATTACGACAAACGGTTTTAAGGGTTCCTTTACAAAATACGAAACATATATTTTCAAAAATAATGATTTTATTATTAATTAAGAAACATATGTATAAACAACTTCATGTAAACGTCCTTTCGGTGACGCAACATCCTGTATATGACATTATTTCAATTTGTGTAAAGATGGGAGATTATTTACGAATAAACACAGTTCTTTTGCGTCATATGAATATGTTTCAGTGTTATTTTTCCTTTAGTATTGTTTGTATTTGCGTATTATTTCCTTGTTTGAATTTTATTCCTTCTGTAATTCATTCAATTTAGTCAAGATTGATTTGATATCCGACGAAATTTAATTAGCGCACTTGTTATCGTTGTTAGAAGAGATAACGAAGATGCAGATGTTACAATGTGCGCGTTATGTTCCGGCGTAAGCGGGAACGCGCGAGGCGCTCTTTTGAAGCTGGTGTTTATTAAATCTCATGATGGATAATTGGCGGTGCTTTTGAAAGATCTTGAGGAAGGTATTATATTATGGTGGAAGTAGTGTTTTGTTAAATACTGGGAATCAACCAGAAAACGAAGCTTGCTGGTTTGCGAAGGTTGGAAACGCGTGTACGTTTCTCTACGCTATTTATTTTATTCGGACTGCCCGCCCGTTTGAGTAGTTGCAAGCGTAGTTTGTCCGTTTTATAGAAGAAGTCTGTTCAGTTAAAAAAAAAGAAATCAGTGCAACGTGAGGCCTTCAACAATTCATACACTTTAGCACCACAAAAAACATCCCCTTCGAGTTAAATGAAAATAATGATCATTGATCCTGATGATGATTTAGTGTATAAAAACTTGGGGTAACCAACTTTATAGGTAGGTAACTGTGAATGTGCTCTTTGCTATGAATTTTTAAATGACTGATTTTATCACGTTAATCTAATTGAAAATCAATAAGAGTGTGGAAGAGAGTTGTTAAACAAAATATGTTATAGTTTCTTCGATGAATTATCATCTATAAATATCAAAACATGCTTCTGCAGAAACACCGGAGCTCTAATTGTTAAGTGAATATCAAGCAAATGTAATTATTACAATTCGATTGTATCGAAAACCAGTGTTTAATCAAACGGTAAATCAGGCAATCTACGAACTTCGGGTCGCAACCTTTTGAGTTCAGAAGGGCGCGTTCTGCAAATCTGTAACAGACAAAAACACTAACAAACAAATAAAAGGGGTAATGAATTTCGCTACACATTATGTATTGCGAAATAGCAATGCTATCGACTGACACGGGGGCTAACTGCAATAAATTGTAACAATTTATTTCCTCCACTACAAAGCATTGTTATTGTTCACGGGATATTTACTTGTTGAAAGATCCTTGTAACTTTTGAATAGATGGCTCCACCTATTGTTGGAATTTTAACAACGCCATTTTACCGCGCAGATTGACGGCGTTGTGATTTTTGGTTATCGATTGTTACAGGTTACACTTAATTAAAAACTAACAGCTGAGGCGTTAGTTGAGAACGCATGGAATTTTAATTGCCATTATCCGTATTTTATTAATCTCTGGCAATTAGATTCATTACATTGGGCATTCTGGAATAATTAGTCAACGGATTCACCTTTAACTCCATAATGAGGATATAATGCGTTATTTTCTTTCTCATCGTAAGTACCGCCATTTGTATTTTATTTACTTGAAATGAACCTAAGTTCGGCTGTCGTCTGTTATACGACAGTTTTCCATGGACAATTGTTGCTTCATCTATAATTAGCTCTCTTATTTAAGAGGTACCTATGTACATTTTATGACATCAACGAAGACCTTTGATTACTTCTAGGGTTCAAGTTCCGGTTCGACTTTAATTTTAGTTTAAACTCAAATTTCATTCAACTTTAAGGTCTTAAGGACCAGCTTGAGCTTCGGGGACGCTTTACCTACCATTCCGTTGACCTGTGACACCATACTGTGACATACTTATCTTCCAACTGCTGATAACGAGCGACCATTTTCTGGAATTGGGTCCCCGGTCATGAACGAGATTTAATATCGGGATAGCATCCTCAACAAAGAGACAACTTCCGTAACTCTTTAGCGTAGTAGTTAATAACTATTTTGCTCCTTCTGGACTAAACATTAGTACCTATTTAATATATTTGCCATCTCAGTTAAGCTATGATCGAGTTTGAAACGTGAATGTTGTTGGAGTCCACCACTTCTTTCTGTAGATGTGCGGCCGATTAAGTACCGTACCTGTTATTGAAACGGATTACGAGTAGAGCGAGGCCCTTCAGGCATTAGTCAATTAATTATATACCGAGCTCTACGGCTTCGCTGCAACGAAGAACGAAGATCAAATTCCCAGAACGAACTACCGCTGTGACAGATCTCAAGCTTGTATTTTCTTGTTTAATCCTGAGCTGGAACTAGGTAAAAGAATTGTACTTCAAGAATAACAACCTTAAACTAGTGAATTACAAAAAAGATACCTAGATGGCGTAAGAATATTGAATATGCATTATTAGCGTAAGAGTAAGGGCCACGAAACGAAAAATTAAATAAATTAACTGCCGGTTGCAGGAAAGCGAATTATAATCAAAATCCTACATTATTTGCCAAATCTAAGTTTAAAAAAGAATTTGATTGGCTGCCTACTGCAATATAAAGCCAATCAAATGTCTTAATACCGAATTAAACAATAATCCTGGATTATTTTTTTTGTGCAACTGGCCGTAAGAGAAATATTCAAGCAGGCAAAATACACGTTACAAAGTATAAATTATTACGTAGTAAAGATTTCTCCTACTTATGACAATTTAACAAACTGTTTTCAATTTGAGGCCTTAACCTGGATTTTGTAGATTTGAATTCATAGGAGAATTCTTGCACCATTTGATTTTTTTTTTTCATTAATATATTCAAAACGTTGATATTTTTGTGTTGCAATGCAATTTATGAGAAAATCCATAGAAAAATCGTCTTGAATACTGGATAAAGGACGTAAAGGAGGAATCTTTAATAATCAATCAATCATAATAAAATTTCCTATAGAGCTAGCCGGCGGTTAATAGATGAATAAAATAAAGAATTTCGGAGGTCACTTAGAAATTCAACATTTTGATTTTGGAAACAAAAAGGAAGTTCAACTGCTTATTATGCAAACCCGTTGCACTTTATACTGTACGATTTTATATTTTCATTATTATTACAACCATTAAATCACGGATTTAAATATTTGTGTTGGCATATTAAACAAATTCCTTTAATTGTGTAATCCTCTACGCCCATGGTCATTCGTGTATGTTCGGTATTTTCAGTGGCTTTCTAATATTTTAGCACAATATATTTTCTACCGTCGGATTATTTGTAAATGCTTACTTTGTTCCCCTTTAGCACCCTATGTTTTTACATAGGTACTTATTTGTTACACCCCGTATATTAATCAATTGGCAGCAGAAATTGGTAGGTAATAATAAACACGACTCTTATCTCCGCCGCATCAAATTGTTACAATTACAATTACTACAAGGCATAAAAAAAAGTAAATTATACCCAATTCAACGTAAATTGGGAGCCCCAACGAAAAGTCGATTGGAATTGACACGTAAAACGTGCATTTAGCCATGACAGATGGTTAAAGGTATTCAATCTGAAAATGAAATAAATTTTTGAGACGTACAACGTACTTGCACCGATTCCAAAGATCGACTACATTTCGAACATTCGTTTTTCAATTATAGATAATGCCCATCAAAGCCATAACTTAGCATGCAAAGTTTAAGACCGCAATATAAAAACCGTTCACAATACGTTCGTCTGTTCGCTAACTCCAGATAATTGAGAAATTAGAGTACCAACATGTAGCCGTAATCGAAATATTAGACACAAACCATACATCGAATATATCTCTATTGTTTCCCGAACAATAATTTGCAAGGATCTTAAAAAGACGATCCCGAAATATAAAATAAACCAGAACAGAGCATATCAATCGCTTTAGATTTAGATAACGGCGCCACTCCTTCGATAGCACATTAACGGCACCCATTCCGAGGACTATGCATCATGGAGTGACTCTTTGCAGATACATTACAGCAGAGACTCTTCAAATTTACGACCGCCAGGGGCTTAAAAGTATGCAATAAATCCCTCTCTGGCTTAAAAAATCCGCCAGCTAGAGATTGGCATGATTCGATATAGCGCCAAATTTCTTTTTCGGTAATTATGCGACTAGAAGGCTTTCTTTTCCATTTCCATCTGCGACAAAGGGAAAATACAGTTGCGGAGAAAGATTTCGTAAAATAATATTCAAATCAAATTTAGATTAGATTTAACTTCTTTATGGCGTTGCTTTTGAAGTTTTGTACGTAATCAATTCTTTTCATTTGACGCATACGAAAATAATTTCAGGAATTAACTTTTCAGAATGGGACATTTGGCTTAGAGGCTAGTTGCGTATTATAATCCCTATAGTTTCCTTGGATGTAGCGATACACCGAAACTTTGCCCATTCGTTGTGAACGCAATTATCATATATTGCGTCAGTATGACACTTGAAATGGTACGATCATGCAAAGTAGATGTCACTCGAGCAGTTTTGCAAATCACCAACCCCGATAGTTTACGATGTTGTGCACAAATATATATCGAGCAATGGATTTATGGAGCGGGAAAGTACTGTAACTTTTTAAGCAAATAGAAATTACTGTTCAGTGTTCACACCCCTACAAGCATCCTTCAAAGAAAACACCCTTTCCACTTAGAAAGAAATTATAGCTCAGTCTTTGATTTATCGACGTTCGGCGATTAGAAATCGTTTCTATTAACGAAAGCATGCAAGCCAAATTAAGTTTTACTCACCTTTTTTTAAAGCTCGCGCCGCATGTGGAACATAAAAACGGCCGTTCGCCCAACTCCGCAGTTTGATTAGAGCTCTCCAATTTTCTTATACTGCTCTTGTCATGATTCTTCATATGTAAAACCCAATTATTCTTTCTCACAAATCCAGCATTGCATAACGCACACACAAAAGGCCGCTCTTTCGTATGTATTCGTATATGACAACGTAAAGAGGATTTTACATAGAATTTCTCACAAATGGGGCATTTGTATTGTGGAATTTGACGTTTTCCTATTGCCGCCGATTCTTGTTCATCTGCATACACATATAAAGGTTCGGTATGCAGAACTTTATGGAATAGAAATTCGGATGTTGAGTCTGTCGTATATTGGCACTGATCACATGCATTCGTTTTGGATTCGTTTTCATCAAAAGTACAAGCTTTTGTACGTACATGCACCGTTAAGTCTTGGGGGATGGTAAACACTTTGCCGCAGTAGGGGCAGCTGAAACAAAAATAAGGAATAGAATGTGATACGAAATTGTGGCGATTATGTTTGATGAGCGTACTAGCTGAATTCTTATTCTGAGGTTAAAGGAATACGAAATATTTAATTTGGAATTTTCAGCTAACATCAGTGGAAAGAAGGGAGGATCCAATCCGAATTTCGCTTTAAGTTTGTGTTATGTATTTACAAGGCATAAATTTTAACTCTGAATATACAAATCTCCTATGTTCAATTCCTAAATATACAAGTCAAATACCCCTTCAAAGATATGCAACCAATCTTGCCTACTTTCATCACTCACGTATCTTAAATAACTACTAAGTTTCTCTTGTTTACACTGTTGCCACATCCTGAGGAGCGACCGGGCGCGTCCCCACGTGGCGGATAAGGGAACGGCCGCAGCAAATGAACATAAGTGACGAATAAGTTAATGCTAGTGATAAGGATACTAGGCGCTTATGAAACAGCGACCCGTAGCAACCAAATACAGCATCCCGGACCAGCTACCCAGCACTACCAAGAGAGAAAAAGTCAAAAACTGGGACCGTAACTGATACCAGAACCTTAAGCAAAGCAGCTACAGGCTTCAGAATGGCTTTTGTCCATGAAGACCTGAATGGAACGCTGTCGGAAGAGGAGACAGGGCCAATAAAAGCCCGGATCCTTGACAGCGCCGACGCATTGTGGCGGTTTCGCCCAAATTCATGGAGTGTCGCCACCGAGGGCGAGCGTTGTTGATCACATGCTCGGTAGACTGGTTGAGGTCGAAGCTAGCGAGAGCAGCTCCGTGGGAGTAAGGCGAAACTTCGGCTCGTTGAAACGAAGAACCTTCCAAAACCAGTACGGGTACACCACTTGGACCTCAGGGTTCAACTAGAACCGGAGAAGGTCCTGAAAAGGATCGAAATCCAAAATGGTGGAATTACAACCAGCTAGTGGCGTTTAGTAGACAGAAAGGAGGACCCCAAGGGACAAACTCTGATGTCCATGAACTTGGCAGGCGTACTACAGCAGACCATGGTTCTGCTTACTCATATCGTTAGTGTTCCGTTAGTGCACGTTAGTGCCGCTGAAGAAATCGTTAGTGCACAAAAGGAAACTTACTATTTTTAAAAACTATTTGTGGGCCTGCTAACTTCATGCCACCTCAAAATTAAACGTGGCTTATTGGGACCTGCCAACTTCACGCCGGTAGACCAACAAACGAAATCCGTTTGATTTTCTACCTTAATCAATCTATCAGTATTAGTGATCGTTAGTGTCGCAAAGAAAAACGTTAGTGCTCAAAGCACAAGAGATCAAGCGTGAAATTATGGGTTTGCTAAATTCATGCAGCAAGCCCACATTTATGAAAGTGGGTCTGCCTTAATGCGAATCTGAAGCTCCTCGTTAGTGCTCGTTCGGACTTCACTTGTAAACGTCAGTGTTTTTAATGGATCCGTGTCGAAAAACTACCAAAGCATCTTAAAAATTAACTACATATAACTTATAGGTTCTGCTGTAAATACAACAACTTTGTTTCCAATCCAAAAAAAAGTCGAAGAGAATGAACGAAATGTATTTTGGAACTATTTTTAATATTTTACAGGCTAATAATGAAATGAATTTCTTAAAGCATCGGAGTGAAAAGTCAAACGAGTGCGATAAGGAGATAGTGGCGTTTGAAAATCAACAAACTTTCCCCCCAAAAATTAATTTCGACATACCGTATATTGTCAAATACCTTAATATATTAACGTTTTGAGCTGTTACACTTTGAGCACTAACGTTTATATTGGCGGCACTAACGAGCACTAATACTTACCGGTCGATTAAAGTAGAAAATCAAACGGATTTCGTTCGTTGGTCTATTGGCGTGAAGTTGACAGGTCCCAATAAGTCAAGTTTATTTTGAGGTGGTTTGGTACCTTTTTGACGCGGCACTAACGTTCGCATGTGAAGCAGTAACGAGCATTAACGAGCCGCTTCAAATTCGCATTAGGACAGAGCCAATTTGACAAATGTGGGTCTGCTGCATGAAGTTAGCAGACCCCTTTTTATAACGTTTTGAGCTGTTACACTTTGAGCACTAACGTTTATATTGGCGGCACTAACGAGCACTAACGCTGCTAGTTGAACTAGTGTAAAGATTGAATCGATTTTCTCAAGTGGGCCTGCTGCATGAAGAGAGGAGGCCCACAAATATTTTTTAAAAATAGTAAGTTTCCTTTTGTGCACTAACGATTTCTTCAGCGGCACTGTCTAACGGAACACTAACGATATGAGTAAGCAGAACCATGGTCTGCTGTAGTAGGCCTGCCAAGTTCATGGATACATCAAACTCTGATTGTTCTGATGGACCAAACTTCCTGGGGGCCACCATCGACCCTACGTGAACTTATCCAGAGTGACGTTCAAACTCCTCTCCATGACGAAGGTGGATGCAGGGGAGGTGACCAACGTAGGGTGCGAAGGAGGCACAGCAGTTGAGGGGCCCTCAGAGAACCTTAACCAACTGTGCCAACCACCGCACTTCAGTAGGTAAGCCCGGTTTTACTATTTTATTAATGGTAAAAGTAGCACAGTAGGGCGGCATGCACCCTTTGTGCATACATGAGCAAACATTATATTGATGTAGCCCTGGTGCAAGAACCTTGAACCTACAAAGGGCAAATACGAGGTTTGGGACTGAAAGGATCGCGGCTCATTACTGAGCCAACCGAAATCAATCCCAAACCATACATCTTGGCTAGGAATAGCGTTAAGTTACTACCACTGTGGGAATGTTATTGCACCTGGTGGCAGTAATGCTGACAGAGGACAGGAATGGGAACGGGAGGAGGCTTGTGCTCGGATCCGTATACCTCCCTTACGATCGACCTTATCCATCACGAACCACAGAAGTCGTCAAACTGGCGGATGTGATGGCATGTGCCGGTAGAGCAATCGCTATCTGAACATAGATATATACGTTTTGACATTGTACCAAGCGAAGCGGCTGTAGCCGTATATAGAAATCCGGGAAGAACCAACTGGGACCTCTATAGAGAGAACCTAAAGATCAACCTCGAAAACTGTCCTGCAGGAGTCCATAACTCGGCGGAACTAGAGGTCATGGAATCAAACCTTCGCATGAACATCAAATATGCCTATGGTGCAGAACCTCAAATAAAACGTCCTGGTGGCACAAGGTACTTTCGACTGTGGGCACAGACTAGGAAACTTTTTAATAGAGCACCGAATACAATAAGGTCATAAGAAAAGGTGGAAGAGGTATTGCGAGGAAATTGAACAAATTTCAGAAGGTGCTAGACTCCAAAGAGCCTTACGAAAGGAACAGAGGGAAGAATCGGTTCCTTGAAGAAAAGTGAGGAGACCATAAAGGAGACCTTGGAGCTTTTATTCAATCACACTTTCCGGAATCAAAGACCCTCGCTCAAAATGACGCGGGCGAACCAATTACTCTGGAAGCATTTCTCAGGGGGAACAGAGGAGATTGGGTTTTGGCTCGACGAATAGTGAACCTAACCAAAGTTAGTTAGTCCTGCTCTACTAAACTAACCTAAAAATCTTAGGAGTCATTCAACTTTGCATGTCCGCCATCAGATGGAAGGATCAACTGCCCTTCAACCGCACCTTGATCTACTATTCAAGCTAGCCACCATTCAGAGAGATAGGGACAGTGGACAGTAACTTTAAACGCCACCTTTACTACTATCTTCTGGTTTCTGTACTGAACTTGCAACCTTTTGCTTTGTTTCTGATATGTTTGTGTTAAAAATTCATTGAACAGGAGGAATAAGTGCCAGACCTAACAACATGGTATACTCATACGGCCATACATTGAAGAAAACGAGGAAAACCACCTCACCGAGACAAAATTTCTCATTTTTAAAGACACACCGTCTCGATGTTTGGTGCTGACGAAAGCAAAGATGTTTCATCAAAACTGTTTCCGACTAGAGCAACTGGATCAAGTCGAGCAAGGAAGCTTTTATAAATGTATAGTAGGTTGAGATAAAACAACCTCACTTGACCCCCCTCACTAACTTAAAAAAAACAGTTAGATCGTACACCTACCTGTGATTGTGCTCTGCATGTTTATCCCTAAGATGATCTTTCAACTTGATTATGTTCTCAAATCGCTCCGTGCAATAATGACACGACTTCGACAAATCTTTCGCAAGAAGTCCCTCCCTTCGCTTTTTCTCAGCAACAGCGCAACGATGCTCAGGCGTACCACGATGACGCTTCGCCTCCTCAATATCATTAAAATTCAACGCACATCCCGAACAAATATAAAACTTCGTTCGGTGCGCAATCATTCGATGGCGCTGGTACGCGACCCTCGATTTCAAAACCGCCTCACACTCCCCGCACTTAAACCGGCTTTGGTATTCGTCACTGACGGTGACGTTGTACGAATGATCCTCTTTCTCGCAGTGCCTCCGCAAGAGAAAGTTGTATAAGAATTCCTCGTTGCAAGTCGGGCAGTTGATCGGTGTTAGTTTCTTGATCACTACAGGCACTGAACGGTTGATAACCGCAATTATTTCACGATGCTCGTCCGAATTTAAATGCAAGTACATCTCGTCCGAAGTCGCAGCGCGATGCTTGCACTCCGAGCACCAGAAGAAGCTCGACGTATTTCTAACAACGTCATTGTGTTCCTCCGAGGTCCAGTGGAGCAAAAAGAGTTCGTGAGTATTAAAGTAATACTTGCAAGGACCACACTGAAACGGTGATTGTAAAACTACACTGTGAATGTTATCGAGTACCATCTGCCTAGGCTCGTGGGAGTTTAAGTCGCTTCGAAGGCAGTGGTAGTGGGAGATGAGATGCTTTCCGATTAAACTGGAGTTAACTTTCGAATCACACACGGTGCAGGGTGTATATATTTTACGCCGCGTTCTCGTCCCTTCTCTAATTTTGATATCATGGGTAGCGCTGTACGCTCGCTTTGTTTTCGATAATAGAGTGCTGACGTAAGGGGACTCTTCAAACTCCCGATCTTGCAGGGTGCGCTTAAAGTGTAATTCTGATTTTAAGTGTCTTTCGTACACGATTTTCGATGCAAGGTGCCTGTTGCACGGGCCACACCAGTATTGAACTGTACCACTTGATTTCCGAAATGGTGGCATTTCCGTTTCTGTATCCGACGATGGCGCTTGATTAGCCACACTGATGCAGTCGGCTTGTGCAGGTTTCCACTTGCCTTTTGTGTAGAACGGGGACGGCACATCGTCGGGTAATTCCTCCGTGTCGTTTTCGAGTTTCCATTTTCCCTTCGTACACTCTGGATCCGGTTGATAGAACCATTTTCCTATCGATGGCTCTGTTTGCAATGACTCGTACGTGATGCTTTTGCGCGGTTTCTGTTTTAAGCTTTCCGTTTTAACAATTTTTGATGGGGTCCACTTGCTTCCGGTGAAACTAATGGGAGGTGTATTGAACAGTTCCTTCGAGGCTGGAGATTTCCATTTTCCGGTGAGGTGTTCCGATTGTAAACTAAATTTTGAGGATGGTTGGGGTTTCCACTTTGCACCAGTGTGGTGTGGCGGTGGTACGTTCCAATAATTGTAATCTCCAGAAGAGTTTGGAATTGGAGAAGAGGTGGGCTTCCACTTCCCTCCTGTAAATGATCGAGGTGGAGCGTCATCGTCCTCCTCATCGTAGTCAGAATCCTCGTCGTCGTAGTCACACTCGTCGGACTCTTCCTCGCTATCTGCGTAAAGATTTAAATCCGTTTCTTCCTTTTTAACCCCACTTTTATGAGCTGTTTGCGCTCTGTTCTGATGAATAATTAAGGAATGATCTGTGAGCCACTCGTCGTGCTTAGTACTTTCTAAGTAGTTTACATTGTCTTTTCCTGAGCTGCTGGCTTGTATGACAGCAGACGCTTTACTTCGAGTTAAAACTCCGGCCGTAGATTTACCCCCAGATGCTGGCGAGGTCTTCTTAGCGCTACTTTGCAACTCTAAGGATGAAAAGAAAGCGTCCGCTTTTAGTGTAACGGGCTCGTCAGAATGTAAAAGATGTTCTGTTAAACCGGACTGCTGCGAAATTTTTTCGATGTCCTTTCCGCATTTCGATTTTCGATGACTAACGTAATTGTCCAATCCTATTATGGTACAGTGGCACTTTAAACAGTAATGCGTGTCATCTTCATAGTCGCTTATCATCTCTGAAACAATAAAATTAGTTGAAATGTGTATAAGAAAAAGTTAATTCAAATAAAGTACGGATGCTTGTGGTAGTTTTACGAATAAATAAAAGTCTTAATGTCCAAACTGCATAGTTAGGTACACTTTTCATTTACATCACAATTATATCACATGTCGACTTACGTCTGTAGGGGATGTTAACCTTTCACTGTATCTACCCCTGAGCTACTGCATTTGTGCACGCAACACTCTTGCCTAACTTTTGACGTGCAAGCACATTTAACGTGAATTTATTTTCGCCGCATTGTATGCACACTTAAAATTCATATAAATATGCGAGTTTTACTTCTTGCTAGTATAAACATTTCAAACGCGAATTGTCCAGAGCCAAGAGACAGATATTCATTTTATTAGGTATCGTATTAACGTAAGTTATTATTATATATTAATTTATGAATCCGGGGAAGTGTTTATTTTAAAAACCGTACCAAAAGGCAAGGTCGAGTTCATTTCGGTGTGTTTTCATTACCTGACAAAGCAGATAAAATTGACCACAACAAGTTTATAGCAAGAATTATATTACGTAATTATTAAAGTGACCTATACTATGACCATCCGTTAGGAACTGTATGGTTCTCCCGAATCTTTCCAACCTTAGAAATTTGTAATGCTCTTAGGAATTGATATTCGAATAATGGATGAAACAAGTAAACAATTATCAAATATTCAATTATCTTGATACCAAAAAATTGATTACCGTATATATAATCGAATAGTTACATAAAAATAAAGATCGATTCTCGATTAATAGTCTAATGATAATCTATTATCGATTCTTTTTCTAGCACGCAATAATGGAAAACTCTCCTTTGATTCAATAGAAGTAGTTTTCAGAGAAGCAAAAGAATTTAGGCTGATTCTCGCGCGATCATCGAAACATAAACAACTTGAAAACGTTCAAAATGTCATGCACACGGGTTGATACCTGGAACTTAACAACTTTCTGATTCTATGAGGATATTTACGGTATCGAATCCGAATTTTCGCAATGCACATTGCACAACTTTACATGTAAATATAAATATTGATATGTCCAATACCAAACGGTCACTAAACCACGCACCTGTCCATCTAGGTCAATTAACTCAGGTACTAACAAAATCTTTTTACATGAAAATTCTATCACTTTTCTCAAGGCACGTCCAGTATCTGTTACTACGAAAAGTCACAATATTGACTTAACTTCATTAATTTGAGAAATTCAGCAGCCTTGATCACTCCCGCAATTCCAAGGAATTGTTTAACAAATTTTTAATTAACACCTGACAGAATCCTGAGTTCGAATAGAAAATTTATCATAAGAACTCTTATCTAGGTCGTAATTTGGGTTCGATTAAACACAAAGCTAGTCATTTACAGATTAAACAAATTATTCGGTATAAATCAGACAATAAAGCTGAAATAAAAATAGATACTCAGGGCCAATGACAAATACCACCTAGTGTTCGATTGAAACAAGGAAAATTTTAATTGGCTTTAGTTTAATCTCACAAGGAAAACATAAATACCAATTGCAGATGCTTCTGAAACTTCACTTCTTCACTTTTGCTTGATCTTGATGCAAATGACACTGGCTTTGATGCATAAATTTATACTTAATGCTGCCTTGTTTGGTGTTGGAAATCTTCACTCTAACGGGTACTTGAATACATATAGAAAGGCTTCACGTAAGCGATAAAGGCACTCAAATTAAAACATTATAAATTATAAAATTAACCTTTAATAACATCTTGATGACTCTTAGAACACCAACTAACTTTCTGCTATAACTTTATAATCACAAAGACTGACTGTCTTTCGAAAACAAACCCCATTACGGCAGACTGCAAACACATGTGTTCTCTGTTCGCGCTTATCGACAACTAATTAGTTTTACGCAGCGATTTGAACCCTTATCGCACTTAGCGGAGGTAAACTTTTACAATAACAACACGCAACTACATCCAGATGCCCACGATTTTTACATGTGATTCAACTTTGCAATATTGCAAAACAAAATAAAAAGCGATTATTTAAGCAAAATCAACATCTAATAAATCTTAAACAAAATAACAACTCCGAATTCAGATAAAACGATCGAGTCTTGTAGAAAGGCAACGGGTGTACGTGTATCTACAAGGCCGTGTAATTTGTGAACCTTAGGGACAAGGCTACATGATGTTGGGTTGGAGACATCTGGGCGTCATTCTCGAGCGTAGTTTACTAACGTGAAGGTTTTTCAGTTTTTTCCTATCTTCTACTACAGTCTTGGTCCGATTCTTTTCAAATTGGTNTTTTGTCTTAGGGGCGAAATTAACTACCTTTTGCAAGGCGCGTGCGCGCGTCTTCGAGAGGTAGTCAACTTCGGGCGCCTTTTACCTTCCGTTGCGAATTTTGTCACGCGGTTTAACGTTTCGTAAATCTCGAATCGCTGTCTCTGTTTCTCGTGTCGCCAATAGAAGCTCGAACAATGAGAAGTGCCTCAAAAATTAAGTACTATCTTGTGGAAGGTTTTTAGCGAAATCCACCAAAATGTGGGTGTAATATAAGTATGCACCAAAAAAGGAAATGTGGTAGCCTCCGACAAGATCTAACTGGTGGTGGAGTGAAAACTTCAAACGCGAATTTGGGGTGAACGGGACGTTGGAAGTGGGTACCGTCAAAGGGAATACGGTAGCCTTCGACGAGATCTTTCATTGATGGTGGAGTCAACACTGGCTATTAAAACACTGATTTTGCACACAAAAATGCGCTGAAGTCCCTTCGATTTCACACGAGGACTTTGATAATTTTTTCGGTGTTATTTCAGTTATTTTCAAAGATTTCTCAAAAATTTTAAATTCGTTTTTTTAATCACAAAAGAAGGCAACCTGTAACAAAGCACACGTTTCCAGCCTTGAAGTTTCATACCCGAAGTTATGACCACAGCGTATAATTTGTGGGTTCGTCCAGCTCTGCTGAACACTCGGTATCTAGAAGCGTTTTAAGTTGGGTGCTTCGTTACGAGTCGCTCCGAAAATATTTATATTAATATAAGTTGAAAATATAAAATAGAAATTGTGTATATGTGGAGTTGTTCGTTAAGAAAAATAAGAGGCCGTATGTAATTTGCCGCTTGCAACCGTTCCCGTGGGAATATTTAAATTGTTTTTACAGCCGCCGAAAGCTACTTTCCTGTTGACGCCGCTACCGAATCCGATTATTTACTGTTCCCGCTTAGGGTAACCGCTGTGCGCTTTAAGTTTTGTTTTAACATTCACCACTAGCCACCCACCGCTTGCTCTTTAGAAATCCTGGGACCGCCGTTCTCCATTCGTATTACCTGGAGCTTACCATCGCCGACAGCAACTTGTCCAGAATCAAGAGAGACCGCAAACTTTTGGTGGCATGCGAAGCACTCCCGGTCCCGTCCCGCCGTCTTCCACCGAATCGCCGCCGTCACCGTCTGCAGATTTGACTTGTACATTTATGCTAAATGTTCCTTTTTCTTTCCTTCATTACATTTTATTTTTGTAATTATATCATTTATTTGTTTTTGTGTAAAGGAGAACAGAAGCCATCGTGGGTGTGCGGCTTCTAGCGGAAGTTCGTCGCAAACCATTTAACCTACATTGTATCTCTCACCGGAAATCCCAATGATGAGCCACAAATTTGAACCACCCTGTACACATGTTTATTACCTTCAAATCCATTTCCTCGAATTGTTATATTGAAAACCACAAAAATGGAGTGATAGTTATATTTTTAAGCTCAATTATACAAATGCGCGTTTCTAATCCAGGGCTACATTTACGCCTTGACTGTCACTACGTACAACACCAATAACACAATAACAGCAAAGAACAACATACTTCGTTGTATATGTCCTTTGAGTCTGAGATCGTTTTGAAGGTAAAATTTTACCTTCAAAAAGAAAAAAAAGAATTAGCGAAAAAGCAGTTCAAAGGGTGTCCAATGAAGAAATGCGAAACTGCATTAAAAAAATTGGCAAACGAGATGAATTTTACCTTCGGAAGAATGGAGAACCGTACATGCATCGAGAAAAGGAGAATTTAATAACTGTCGCCATAGAACTTGTATACTAAATCTAAACGACGGTGATGGTGATGACGTAAGTAATGGTGATCTCGAAGAAGATGTTGATAATGGATGTCTATAAGCTGACTGACCGATAAAACCAACATGTTATGCATATATTCCTGAAGTGTGTAGTTATCCTCGTATCTCAAGAGCCGAGTCTCGGAGTACTCACAAAAGCGATTGTAACTCCTGGATGAAATATATCCATTGGTGATGTCAAACCTATATGGACGAATATCTCAAAAACGGTGTATCTGAAGAGAGAACTCATAAAGGGCAAGTGGAACATCTGGACGTGCCCCATCTACTGGTGATCTCAAAGCTTTCAGTTCAAATATCTGCAGAACGGAGTGTCGAAGGAGGGTATTCTCAGAGGGCGGTTGCAACGTCTAGGCGAGACATATCTACTGATACAAAGATAAAATGCAATATTGCGGAGAATTGCTTTAAGGGTTTGATTAATCTTTCATTATATAGCGTACATTTTGAGTGTGTTCTAGGCGGCCTTTTGGAGCCCCCCTCCCCGTTCATTATCTACTAAACAGCTAAACATCTATGCTATACTACGTTAAAACCCAATTATTTACTAAACTATGTCGGTTTATATGCACAATTTATACTTCGCTTTGCAAGATGTTATAAGCAAAGATACTACAAATATAAATAAATAAACGATATTTAGAAACTTACCCTTGAGAAGGTTGTCACAAATATTTTAGTAAAAAATGAGTTCATAATTCGATGACCGCTCATTGTGTTAAACTTTCACGAAGGCAAGCTTCATGATTCATTCTCAATCGAACATTTAGCACTAAGCAGTATTTAAATATTAGCAGAGATTGTCCTAGAAATATTATATTTTTAACAATTCTTTCCAAGCCAATAGATATTTTGTTATAGG